TCAACTTCCGTTATCTCATGGCCATGGGGTGGGGGTGCGAATGAGGTAGTCTTGGAAGCTATAAGGGCTCGGGAGTGGATGATTTGCAATAAACTGTTTGACAGGAGTCGTCAATTGTTCTTGTCTTCTATACAATGCAATGCGTTCTCCATCCGTCAGGCAGGTAACTACAACTTCTGGTGAGCATTGTAGCATTTGGCATGGCCTATACCCATCTTCTACAGTACCTGGACTATGTTCAATTCGAAGAACGAATCTATCTATTCAAAAGACGTAAAAAAGGCTCTGCTACAGACATAACCCCTACATGCTCCCCTATTGACCTGGCCATGATCGACGAACGTCAAGATAACCTTATTCTCAGCCGCAAACTGGGTCCCGTGATACCTCTGTCCCATGTACTTCACTAGAGCTATTCATCTTTCTTCCCCAGAGGAGGTCTACTTACTCGATCTGATGACTAGTTTCGGCGCCTTACCTAATATACTGAAACCGCGATACCCGAGGGCCTTGATCACATGTAACTCTAAGCAAAAGTCCGAGGTTGATGGAAAGAGTCGACATTTAAAAACGCCTAATCCCATTGCGATAGTATCATCTCAACATTTACACCAGTTCCTGACGGTAGAGTCATCTGCTTTTCTGTTAAAGTTCGCCTTTGAGGCCAATTTGTCTGTATCACTGACTGACGAAGGAATTTGGTGTACCTCCAGGCATACTCTAGTCCATGCAAAAGTCTTCATTCTTTAGAATCTCTCAAAGAAGCTTCGACAAATATGTCACGGGATCGATTTCCTTCAATCATATTTTTCGATGTACTGGGGACAATTATGGAATGGAGACGTTGCATCGCAGACGAACTGAATGACACCGCACAAAGGGCTCTGCAAGATCAAAGTCAAAATCTGAGTGGCGATGTGCAAGCACATGTCTCTGATATGTCCACTTCGAGCTGGCAGGAGATCGCTGAGGAGTGGCATCACTCATATATGAACTTCGGAGACAATTACAATTCTTCTAAGCCCTTTATCTCAGTAGATGAGCACAACCGCATTTCTTTAGAAAATATTATCACCAAATGGCTTCTCCGGGGTTTGTTTAACGAGGACGATCTCAAAGATTTGACCCTTGCTTGGCATCAACTTGATGCATACTCTGACAGTGTGCCAGGCCTATCCTTGCTGAGCACTAAATTTTTGACGTCTACATTATCCAATGGTAATGTAAAACTCCTCGAAGACCTACAAGAACACAATTGTTTGCCTTTCAAGCACATCACCAGTGCAGAGCATTTCAGCGCTTACAAGCCGTCGCCAGAGGTCTATCATGGTGCTGCTCGCAGATTCGGTTTCGAGAATTCGCAATGTTGTCTCGTCGCAGCCCATCTTGAGGACTTGCATGCCGCCAAAAAGTGCGGGTTTCAGACAATCTATCTCGAGAGACCCTTGGAAGAAGCTTGGGATAGTAGAGACATTGCACGAGCCAGAGAAGAGTGGTTTGTCGATCTTTGGGTGGGAGTTGGAGGCTCTGGTCTGATTGAAGTTGCTCGATACTTTGGAATAGAAAGTGGATTTTAAATGAAATCACCCAGTCGGACCCTGAATCAATACAGCCAAGCCCTTGACCTGCTCTTGTGCAAATGGAAGCTCATTTTGTCACACAACAATAGAGTCTCTCTATCCCACAGGGGGCGGCAACTGTACTTAACACTGTGTTAGGGTTTAGCCCAGAGCGGTATAGCAGCAGTCAGATCTGGTCTGTGAACAGCTGCACTGTGACCTGATTATTTAGAATCACCTCTAATCTACCTTAGATCTACCTCCTAAAAACAGCTTAGGGTAGAGCTCTAAGCGTCTTTCAAGCGACGATAGAGCGGCATCAGCGGGGTTGGCAGACACGGGCTCAGACGAGACAACAACGGATTCGGAATTGACAGAAATGGGAGAGGTGGTTCGTGACGGGCAGCAGGAGCATTGCGGCATAGAGGATGCGCCTTAGACTCGGCCGCGAATTAAGCGATAATTGAGAATTGGGATAGCTTGCGTGTCCAGCCATTGCTGAAATAGATCGTAAAACGAATCTCGGATGCTTGAGTCTTCGGTATCGCAGCGAAAGGAAAGATGCCCTTTGTCCTCGTCAGTCGAGACAAGGGTAGTCTCTGAATAGATTTTGCGAAGATGTTCTGTGATATCAGAAACGATCGAGTCTTCGATGGGAACAGGCACAGTGAGCGTGATATGGATTCCGTCTTGTTCCTGTCCTGAGTCCATGCTTTCTTGTTGACAGGCAGCGCGCGAGCTATGCTTTTATATTCACCTCCTCTCGTGGTCACAGATGTTGGGCGACATCAGTGGCGTTCACGCCTGGTGCTTGGACGACGTCAGTCTCCTGTCGCTTCACCGAATACTGTGCGGCGAAAAGACCACGCTTGCCAGCTATTAGAGTATGAGGCAGCGTATTACTTGCTTTGGACCCTTTAGATGGTTGGAAACTGGTGCTGTAACCTGGGCGGAGTTCGAGCGAATACTACCTGCCAAGCAATTATTGCCTGGGGCCTTTTCGATTATAGGCAAGGGTTCTACCTCTTAGTTGCACTGCTCTCTTCTTTTCATTATACTTCATCAAGATTTGCGAGTATGCCCATCTACCGCGGATGGATTGAAGTTGCGAGACAATTCCCCCTTCTCGAAATTTATCTACCAAGCTTCCATCTCCAGTCTCACTTTTTTAGGTCTATAAAGCAGGCTTACATCTGAGTTTTGTCTCTTTGACCTGCTGTCTATAATAACAAAGCTTGTGCTTCTTATTCAGTTGGCGCGCCAACACTAGTGAGTAGACCGGGGCTCAAGTCTTTTAATAATACGTTCCATGATCAATTGATTCTTACTGCAGTATAGCCGTGGCAAAAAATTAGGTTGTAAAAAGTCATCAATTCGTAAAAGCTATCAAGCTAGCTGTGGTAGACTTCGTAGAGTCTCCATGTGCTATTGCACTTCAAATCTCCGCATCGAAAGCTAAATTCAATATCCTTCATTCAAAAGATCGAGAACTTCATGACTCCGAAGACTTGTCATAGGAACGTAACCTTGGTAGGCTCAAGCCACAGGAGGGATTCTGCGACGGCATTCTCCACCAACACAGGACTGGCTAGGGGGACAATCCATGTTCATGCGGCACCGAGTCTCTTCATGGACGGCTTCTGACGGGAAGAAGAGTTAGCTGGGCTGAATATCCCACCAAAAGGGAACAAGTACTCACCATCAGCACGGGCACCGAGGGCACCAACGCTAACGCAAATGCCGCGGTAGCAGAACTGATGAGGGGGGCACCAGTGGTTGATATTGTTGCAGCGACGTGGTTCACCCTCAGTGTCGAGATTGGTTTCTGAGAATCAAATTGTGAGTCTAGGAGTATAGGAAATAGCGAGGGAGACTCACCCTCATCACGCGTGGTAAGCTCGGGAGGTAAGATTCCGACGACGCATTTTTTATTAATGCAAAGCTCATAGAATCCACAGTCATAGTTAGTGTGGCAGGTGGGAGTGACAGAATCATCTCCACTAGCCTTGAGAGAAGTCACTGAGGCAAAACAGTTAGGCACATGCGTCAGGAGGTGTTAAGGCAGAAAGACTCTCACCGTCAGCGGAGGTGGCAAAGTTCTCAAAAGCTCCTTTGGCGGGAGTAGCATCATCTAGCTTTATTAGATGTTTGGATTCCTGTATTTAAAGAGAGGACTCACTGTTGGCATCGACCACTCCATTGTTGACCTCAGGGAGAGCAAGCGAAGCCGCAAGAGGGGCAAGAAGGAAAGGGATAAGAGCGTGAAGCTTCATCCTGAAGCAAAGACTTAGCACAGCTTAGGGTTGTTTAATGCTTTGATGATAAAGGGATTTGGTAGAGCAGAAGATGCAGGTGGGTGAGAGGAAGAAGAAGACATGGATGATGGGGTGTAGGGGGTATATATAGACAGCGGTGAGGGAAGCAAACCCAGGAGTAGAGTGAATATCAGTAGAACAGGCAGAGACTCTGTGAAGGAACTAGAAGTAAGCAGAAGGTAAAGTGCCTGATTTAGTACTCTATTCTCACTAAAAGCAAGCTTACTGCTATACTTAAGACTCTGGAATATGGCTTAAACTAATTTAACAGCTTGTAAAAAGCTGAATAAAATGGTTCCTCAGTATACTAGATTGGTTTCACACCTGAAGCGTTAACAGATTATGGAATAGCTTCTGGGACAGACGAGGCTTCCCAGAAGAGGGCATTGGGAGACCAGCGTCAAAGGTTCATTCGCACATTTTCAAATCCAGGGAGATGCTCCGATAGCGGTTTCTTCATACGTCAGACGGAAGGTAAGTCACACCCACTGAATTCTCATCAATTTGGCGTAAGGAATCTCCTAAATGAAGCAGTGCCTCGACACCTCTCTTATTTTCCACATGGCCCGTCCTCTCGAGTATCCTGAAACCCGAACATCACGAATCGCTGGCTCAACAGAACTTATAAGCAACACTTATAAACAATATTGGGAAGTAATCAGCTCCCTCTCAATCACAGAGACAAAACAAGGTGGGTTCAGGCCGCAACTCCATTGTCTGATTCGAGATATGGCTGGGATTGTCCGTGGTTTGCAAGTCCTAGTCCCCTACAAATGAAATGCAATGCAATTCCAGAGTTCTCGGGCATCAGAGTCAATTATAGACGTGTCAACCTTGGGAGACAACTCAAACATGAAGCTAACGTCTTGATCGTTCGTCTATAGGATCAGATTGTGCAACTAGCGACAGTTTCCACCGACTTCCGTCTCAAACGCCATCTTTTTCGTTTCCTGACTCAAGGCAATTCTGGCGGATTTGTCCGACATTGAATAGGGCTGATTCGTTCCATGTCCGTCCTGTTCTAAACCATTATCATCGTCAATGGCTCGAGAATCACACTAATACGTTCTTCTGTCTACTCTTCGCGGCCTCACATGGTGTTTGCTGGTGAAAATGTGAGCACTGAATGTCCGTCGAACTGCTCCAGCTCACAATCAACGCTCTCAGGGTTGGTTGGGAATATGGCCTCCTCACGCAGCCGTACGCTTTATCCCCAAGGGATCTATGGTCCTTGCAACTATATTATACGTTACTTAAATCCTGAAAGATCCCCTGATTCCTTCTGATGCCAACAGGGGCTTTACGCACGACCCCAACGTTCAACCCGATTCAACGACCTTCAAGCCTGAGCGGTTCCTCGAAGCCGGCGGCAATATACCGGAGCTAGACCATCACATACTATCCTTTGGGTTCGGACGTCATGTGAGTCCAGGCAAACTCCTTGTGGACGGTATTCTCCTTATTGTTGCCCAATCATTAGCTGTGTTCGACTTCAGCAAGGGCGTAGAGGATATCCAGCTCGAGTCTGCCCGGTAGTATCAGCTATCCTGCCCGTACAAGCTATATATCACGCGTCGGAGCTTGGCACAGGGGAAGCTGATTCGGTCGATTGAAGTTGAACATCGGCGGAGGAAAGTGATGCTGCTACTTTGGAAAAAGTGGTATACTAGACTGCTGGTCATAATGCCTTGATGCCCCGATTTTCTGGTCACACTTCGCAATGATGAATGAACTATGTCAGACCTGCGTAAGGACCAAGTTGAAGCTAACAGATATGAGTTCTTTGAGTGATCCTGTCCATGGTCACACCAAACAAGTGGTCTATTATTACACTATCAAACAGCAGTAGCGAATTTGGGGATTTCCCTCCAATCATTAGTGGCAATTCCAGCAAGCCCATGCCATCCGTTCGATCTGGTTCATAGCAATCAAGTCAGACCAAAGAGCGACGCATAAAACCAATCCACAAATTGTGCGTCAGCATATCAGCAATGGAAGGCCTGGCTATGCCCTATATAATTTAGAAATATATTTTCAGCGAGCTGTGATCCCATCAGAGTCAGTCCGGTGTTCAATTATCAGCATCTATTCGTCAACCCACTGTGGTGCGTGCCTCCAACTTTATCCTAAGCGAGTAAGCTTCCAGCAATCAGGCTTGCGATTTGCCCTCAAGGTTGTCATTTAATACGCAGGGCTGTTCGTTCTGAGCCTCTAGATCCCCCACTTTTTTCTTCCATGCGACAAGATCATCAACGACAGCTGCACCCATCGAGAACATCAGAATTCACTGAAATTTCACCATTGGAGAGCAGAACTTACCGCGAACGAGCCAGTGTTCATCATTGTAGACATACAACATGGTCTCTTTGCCGTTTTCGGTGAACCGAAATGCTAGAGTGGGTTTCCCACGCAGTCTGGCAGTTGAGAGTATAAGTTAGCAAGGCGATTAATCCATGCTACTAACAGAAATACGTACCTAATAGTGACCCAGGATGCACTAACGGTACCCACAAACAGTAACGCAATTGTGACAACCGAGTAAATGCCTAGCATTAGAAACCACAATGCCCAGGCGCCAGTGGTGTCTGTGGCCATCCTGCTTGTTTATTTGAGTGTAAAAGGACGTGTGTAAACAAGGATTGAAAGATCTCGAAAATATGGTCAGCGTCAGAGTCTAGATACTCTGGCCTAATGATGCCGTTGATATTGAGCAGTGTTGAAAGTGGGTGATCTTGCTGCAAAGAATTCAGAGGATTCACAGATGAGGAACCCGCAAATTGCTTACTGTATGGGGGAAGGGCAACCGTGGTAGAGGCACCAACTCTGAGAGAAGTTCGTTCATTGTTGGATTTGTCGACGAAGATGCGCATTTCGAAAAGCAAAAGAAAGGGATTTTTTGTGCTCGTTGTCATATTCTGTGCAAAGAGTAGTAGACCTCTTTTCTCAACTCTCAGTCCAGTGAGACTCCAGACTGGACAGCATGCCTTGCAGTTCTGTTTTGCTGCTGAAACAGCGCAGTTCCGAGTCCAGCACTAATTGAATATTAGGTTAGGAACCTAGGCGAATCTGCACCGACTGAGACACTGCAAACAAGGACAAGATATGAGTGATCCTCAAATGTGGATTTGCAGAGGGTTGGTTTGGCGGGCCTGCGAGTAGTCTCACAGCAAACGCAATTGAGCAATCATGTGATTACTCTTTTCTTGACAATCAACTTGTCGTATCATTTGCTCAGTGATCCTCTTGTCTGCTCGAATTATTTTTCCTGCTTATTTCTATATCCTTCACATTGAATATGGCCTGATAATGACCTGCGAGTCTCCGATCCATCAGTTTGAGTGCGGTCCTCTTGAAGAAGTTGGGATTCATGTGCTAGTGGTCCATGAAGGCACGCGCCAGCGTTTTTTACCCTCAAAGGCTTTGGTACATGATTACGAATCAAGCTAATACACTTACTAGTGAATGTGCAGAAAAGAGAGACAGCTCTATGACCACTGGTCCCAAAACGAGCTATGCTATTGAGAAAGCCTTCCTTCCTTTTGAAGCCGCCAACTGTGCCCAAAAATAAACACCATCCATGCTAATGGACTCAAACTGACGCAGAGAAGGCCAAGCAGTGTCCCTGTCCAACCTACATTGATTCGATCGATAAGTGGTACGGCAGCAGCAGCCGCACCTGCTCCAAACAAGGATCGGAAAAAGTTCATTGCAGCGGTGGCGGTAGCTGGCTGTTCAGCATGACAGTCGATGATCAATGTTGTCAAGGTACTGGTAATCCCGGATAATGCATGAGCCACCAAGAACAGCATGAGAAGCGGCACAGCCACCTGGACTTCAAAGTTAAGAACCCAGGCATACACGACAATGAACACGGAAGCGATGTATACGAGTGGGAGAGCGACCTGAAGCCTGGCTTTCTCTAAGGGAAAGGTCGTAAGTTTGAGTTCTTTCTTGTCATGGATATCAAATCCGACATGATGCGCAAAACGTCGAAAATTCCAGTTCATCAAGGTTCCGGCTGTCCATCGCGAGGTTAGGCTTCCGCTTCCGTATGATAGATAGCATAACCCGATCTGCAGGGCATTGAAACCATAGTGCCTTCCCAGCTCAAAGGGAAGGGTCGTCGTGATGGAAAGATACCCCGCATATATGATGGCGCTGAAAAGGATGGTGCATGCAGCCTCTTTGTCCCAAACCAGTTTGAGGGTATTCCAAGGGGTCGGACGCTGCTTGAAGGTGGTTATTGTCTGGTATTGAGGAGGTGTCGAGCGGCGACCTGGAAATAGGACGTCCTTCAATGGATAGTTCCATTTCTGCGGGACAACGCTGCCATTCCCTACGACAGCACGGCAAGTTTCAGGCAGCAGTATGACGACCAACAGAAGCAAAACTCCGGCAAAGATCGTCAAAAACCAGAAGGAGCTCCGCCAGCCAAGGTAGTGAGAGAGGATCCCTCCTACTACTGGTCCAAGAGCCGGGCCAACGGTAGCTCCTAGCACTGTGTATGCCATATATTTCCCGCGCTCCGCGCCAGATACCACATCAGCAGTTGTTGCAGTGCCCACAATGGCCACAGTGCTGCTGAAAATACTCTGGAGAGACCGAAGTACAATGAGCGCAAGAAAGCTTGTTTGGACGGCCAGACCGACATTTATTCCCACATACAGAATCAAACTGATCATGAGGGTAGCGCGTCGACCTGTCTGATCTGACAGGCTACCTGTTACCAACGGTGCGATTCCTTGAAAGACCTAGGCTTTGACTTAGCGTATTGCCATTGGCTTGAAAAGGAACGCAAAAACTCACCTTGAAGGAGGTAACAGTAAGATTAATGGTGTTATTTGACACATGGAGATCCCGCGCCACTGCTTCAATAGACGGGTAGTAGATGCTGGCCGAGAGCGGAGACAAAAAAGTTGCTAGAGAAGCGATCGAGACAGTCAAGAGCTTTTCTCTCTCTGATAACACACTATAACATGGCCCGGCAGATTCTGACTCAGCCCCTTCTTCTGTTTCACACAATGTTGGTAGCTGCTCCTCGGCCGTAAACTGGCCGAGTATATCTTGTTTCGAAGGTATGGAAGCTGAATGCTTTCCGTCCGCCATTGTGCTCTTAGTCAATTGAAGAGCATATAAGCAGGCTTTCTTCTCGGATAGCCTCTACAGGAGCCCCAACTTGCTGGACATTTTACCATGCAGTACTGAATGAGACCTCGATTTTTAGGTTAAGCCGGTTCATCTCTGTGCAGTTTCCGGGGTTGGCCCGATCATTCTTATACGAGTCGCTCATCGAGTGATGTGATGGTTTCTAGCCTACCTGAGCATACCGGGATTGTCCATGGAATGTATGGAGGGCAGAAGCGCAGGATTACAACCGATGGCCCGGGTACGGGCCCAGAAGCCTGTCTGTGTTCAGCTTGACCGGGTCACAAAGACGCATCATTGCATCAAGTGGGAGTACGCACACGCGCACATTCCAAATTGCCTCATATGCTGAGATCAGATGCGGGGTTACAGTTCAGTAAGGTCTCGGAAAAGTTTGATAAGGTCTCGGGAGATGTAGGGCAACTTTGAGGCCTTATTGAACTTTTCCAACATATTAGCTCAGTAAGGTCTCAAATTAGATCTATATATTTTAAGACCTTATTCAACTTTTATTAGGTTTGTATTTAACACCCGTTTACAATCTATAGACTAGGTGTAATATATTCAAAACGTCATATAGTAGGGATTTAAATTAAAATATATATCTCTAAGTATACTAGTATTAATACCTCTACTATATGACAATTCGAATCCCGACTATATGATGATTTAAATCATTTAATATCCCTACTATATGACGATTCGAATATATTACACCTAGTCTATAGATTGTAAACGGGTGTTAAATACAAACCTAACGAAAGTTCAGCAAGGTCTCAAATTCTATAAGATCCATATAATGATATAACCGACCCTTCCACCGAGTTTCAGGGTCGCCCGCTATTTTCCGAGACCTTGCTGAACTGTATGCCCCGACACTTCACTGGATACGACAGGATATTGGTGGCCCCTCGACTCGCAACATTCTGATTTGCATACTGGCGGCTTTCACCCTGCGGATGTGTGACGTTTCTTCTTGGAAAAAGATCCGATCTCAGTGCGAGTATCTGGCAAACTGTGATGAGGAAACTTGGAAGACTGGGAAAACTAAACGGAGGCCAAAGCAAACGAAAATGGAAGATCGACGGACCTTACATGTTTGTAGCCCCTTACATGGTCAACACTGCCCTGTATGATGACCCGGTGATGGTACTCACCAGGGCCGACTGTTATCGGAACAAGCATATGCTCTCGTGACAGTAAGGGCTTTTCAGAAATTAAGTTGGAATTACTCCGTAGATCGTCATCATTCCCCGGATGCGCGGTAGAATGTCGGAATTCTATAAGCCAATCGCACGATGCCATCCAGTCTCCTCGACTAGTGCTCCCTATGGCTTAACCATGACTGGATTCACTCCACAGAGTACAAAATGCCTCATACCCTTTCGAGTACTAAGCATTGCCTTCGCTGCTGCTGCATTTGTGAAAGCTAAATAAAGATACAGAGAGATGTCGGTATTCTTATTCCCTCAATACACAGCTTGTAAGACGAAATGATGCAAAATTCACCAAGCACATGAACTAGAGAGAGATAACGAGATTTTAAGTTTCAAAATCCGTCTGGTAAAATCGAGGCCTGCTCATGCATGTGAATAGACTGCCATCTAGACCTAGACTGTGTTTCACTAGAGCATAGACTGAACTGTCAGAGGGAAACACAAGCTCCATATAATGGTTCAACTTCGGTTGTCCCACGGAGTACAGCAGCAGCAAAGTAACATCTCAACCCGTCAAGCCCGAATCTAGGCTCTGCTTTTGTCCCTTCTCGAGGATATCCAGCTCAGCAAGCAACGAACAAGCTGCAACGATTCGAAACCTCTTGAGCTCGCCATAGCCGATACGTGCTATCGTCATTCTGTTCTCCGGCAACTTGAAACACGCAACGCAGAGTTCTCTAATCTCTAAGTTGGTTGATTGGTTGATTGGATGGTCGGAGTAGTTGTTTCTTGCGGAATGAACTGCGTTCTCGTACCTGAAATTGCTCCGGAATTGTATTGGACTACGAGCATAAGTGCAAAAGGAGGACTTACGCCAGCCGGATGCGCCTAGCTTCGTCTATCCAACGTTCGCATAACATTGGCCGAAACGCATCGCAGGGCCTGGTTATTGACCAAATATATTCGTCCTCGAACTTCTTCACTTGCGTTTTGCGGTAGACCTCGTCAAACCGGATCCTTCGCTCGTTTATCGCCAGGTACAGCTTTCTGGGGATCTTTTTGAATCTGTAGTACTTTCGTGGCGGCTCGAGGTCATCGTCTTCGTCATATGGGGTCTGCAAGACATCGATCCAAGTAAATGTCGGATTCTCGTATAGATGTGCTTCTGAGGCCTTTGAGCCAAGCTACCTGTTCAGATTGCCGGATTGATCGAGTCATGAAGAATACAAAGGAACAAGAAACATAGATGAAGGAGCTGCGAGATTAATTGCAAGAGGAGAGAATTCGGTGGAGAAGATTGCGAGAGGGGAAGCAAACAGAAGCAGGCCGACTCAAACTGGGGTAGACCTGAATTCACGGGACCTTAATTAAAAGGATGCTGTGTTCAATGTACTAAAGTCCTTCTTCTGAGAATTATATCATCGAGGTTGTATTATCGACTGATCATTTGGTTGTAAGAAACCAGAGCAAAAGTGTCATAGACTTGGCTGTTCCATAATATACTCATTTATACCAAAGATAGTTAATATACCAAGTCTAGATATCCAGAATGCAGGCGCTTCCTGCTTTCGGCTGCATCTTTTCTTGTTACTATTATACAAATCCCTAGCTGTTGTGCAACATCATCAGTAGTAAGCTTCTGCTCTTTGCTCAAATAATTTCTTTATTTGTTGAGGCAATGCAAATATCATTGTCCGGTGAATACTGAGGGTTGAGCAACATCAACCGCGTCAAGGAGCAAGCGAGCCATGGTTGAAGATGATCAGGCATCATCGCCTAATTGTAAACAGGCTTCACCCAGCCAACGTTCCATCTTCTTACATGCCACTCCCCTCGCTAAACATGGCTACAAAGCTGGTCCCCGAGATAATAATCCAAATCTTGAAAAACTTCGACACCGTGGAAGAAGTTGTGGTCTGCGCTTCATCATGCAGGCGGTTCCATGATGTGTGGTTGTGCCATGCTCCCCAGATAATATGGACTATTGGGCAGAAGCAGATCCTGGCGTTCGACGATGCCTTGATGGCAGTAAGTGGTGCAAAAGTGTACATGATATCAATAATGACAAATGAGCCCCCAGGTTCGAGCGACAGAAATCGTGCTCGAAAGCTTCCAGAAAGAAGAATTACCCCCTGATCCGTTCCCCCTATCGGCCTTGAGTGGTGCTGTTCGCAAGCCGTCGCGCAGAGAGTTCCAGCAGGTGCGCGACTTTGAGCATCTGGCCGAGTGTGCCGAACAGATCTATGTGGAAGACGAGGAACAATTGAAGGATGAGATACAACATGACCAGCCGGACGGCACCGCACTGTGGGTTCTATGGAGAGCGCGATTCCACAGTTCCGTCTACCGAGTCCTCCTGGCAGGGGCCGTTCTCTATCGCGCATACCAGGAACCGATGTACTTGGCAGCGAATTGGGGACTACCGAACTTTCTGGAGAAGTACGTCGAGGCATTGGCATCCGATGACATGTCGAGCGAGCCAGTGGGTGGAGACGAGCTCGATTATCTCATGACCTTTGCCCCCTACAATCTTGGAGAGAGTGGAGGCATTCATGATAGCTTCAAGGCTCTGGCAGAGTTTCTTGTTCAGCAAGGCAAGAAGCGCGCGCACCAGCAAAAGCTTCACGTGCAAACCACAGCCATCCTTCCCACTTTCGCAGCGCCTCAAGGCCTTAGTGACTCGGAGGCGGCTGTTCTGTTCATCGAATTGAGTCAGCTGCTTTTTGCCTCGGAGGTTTTGGTTGGCATTCAGGACAGGCAATCACCAATTATCGTCAACGGGAACGGCTCCGAAGAACATGGAAGGACTTGCTTTGCACCGGATCTTCTTTACAAGCCTGCCAGAACAACTCCCGTTGTACTATTCGGGACCTTCTTTCCTGAGTATATCTCAACTCCAGCAGCGGCCGCCGATGCAGTGGACTCTCACCTAGTCGCTACTCCTATCTCTCGTACATCACAGACAAGATCAGGGGTTGGGTTTCAGCATATCTACCAGTTCCTGTATGATCTGCACCGAATGGCGGGCCGTGACAATGAATTCTCCTCTCAAGACCCTGCGCCGTATCCTCACCACAAATTCTTCGAGTACATGTTCAAGGAGTACCTGGGTCTCCGGTTCGTTGACAGTGAATTCGACTGCCATTACGACCTTTTCAGGGGGGATGGCTCCATCTTCGCGGAAAGAGGCGATCTCCTCATTGCCTCTGAGTTTACTGAAACAAGTGATATGACAGCCCTGGCTGCATTATTTGAGCCAGTAGCTTCAACTACTGGAAAGTCTTGAGGATGTGTGTTTTGGTTTACCCTGCGATATTGCTTCACGCTCAACGAAGAGTTAAATACCTTTGGATCATATTTGCTTGCTCAATTGGCTATCGGTTATTAAAAAAATTGGTTCTTTGAGTACGAAACAAATGGAATTATTTTGGACAGACATAGATGGCAAGGAGGATACTTCTGATCCTTGGTTAGCTCTACTGCACAAAATGACATAGCTATGATACTCTCGTTGGAGAACACCACCACTTGCGGCCTCTATAGCTGCTATTCATTCGCTGAAGAGCTAATGCCATCAGAATATGTCAACCCACCTAGATATGGCCGATAAAGACACCTCTAGAACCCCCAACACCAACACCATCTACTCCCAACCGCACCGCAACCAAACCTACTCCAGCACCAACAACCCTCCCTCCGAAGAACACCCCCGCCGAGCCCTCAAACCAGGCCTCTACGTCCCGCTCCTCGCCTTCTTCACCCCCGAAACCGAAGAGCTCGACGAGTCCACAGTCGCCCAGCACG